TTTTTGAGACTTTTGGAAGATCATTGATGTATAGCAAGAAGAGTAGGGGAGCTAGAATGGAACCTTGGGGAACTCCGCATTTTATTTTAAGTAATTTTGAATGGGTATTTTTATCCATAATAACACATTGCTGTCTGTTTATAAGAAAGCTCTCAAACCAATGTAAAGCAACATTTTTAATGCCATATTTTTCCATTTTTTTAAGTAGTATAGCATGATCAACAGTATCGAATGCTTTCGATAGATCAATAAAGATTCCTAGAACAAATTTGTTATTATCAAAAGAGTCATTTATTTTATTTACAAGATCTATAATCGCATGTTCGGTTGAATGTTGTTTTTGAAATCCGAATTGTTTTTTATTCAAAATATTGTTAATAGTTAGGTATTTATATAGTTTATTGTAAACTATTCGTTCTAGAAGTTTAGAAAAGACAGAAAGGATTGAGATGGGTCTGTAGTTATTAAGTGAGCATTGCTCTCCGGATTTAAATATTGGTACAACTTTTGCAATTTTTAATTTGTCTGGAACAGTTCCTGTTGTAATTGAAGATTTAAAAATTTCGAATATGGGTTTGCGTATCACCGGGAAGACACTTATTACTACGTTGCTAGAAATCTCATCAATCCCTGGTGCTTTGTTAATTTTTAGAGAATTTTTTGCAGCTTCGAGTTCATCATAGTCTAGTCCATTGAATTTTAGTTCGCTTTGTTGATTTGTAAGATAGGTTTCAAAATAGGTATTTGGGCATTGAATTTTGGACGCCATGTTAGGGCCGATGTTTGCAAAGAAACTGTTGAAATGTTCGGCTATAGAACTTTTATCGTTGTATTCTTTTTCATCCACAACAATTCTATCAGGTAAGGTATTTGTTTTGGTATTTTTTTTCCCGATTATTTCTTTCATGATGTTCCATGATTTTTTAATATCGCCATTGGTATTTTGAAGTAGTTTTAAGTAGTATATTTTTTTAGAGTTTTTCCTTATTTTTTCAAAGAGATTTTTGTATTGCTTGTAGATAGATAAGTTGACTTCATTTCTGTTTTTTAAATATTTTATGTAGAGTTTTTGTTTTGTTTTAGAGGATTTTTTAATTCCACTAGTAATCTATGGACAGTTTTTTTTTTTCTTCGATCGGGAAATAACTATTATAATGATTAAGTAATGCTAGCTCTTTAGAGCAGAGCCCACTATAGTATTTATAGAAAAAAGAAAGAGAAGCAATATTACAACAAAGTGATAATGGTTGAAAGTTGGCTGCAAAAGCAGGTTTAATTATGTTTACAATGCGTTTTTTATCTTGTCTCAAAGAAAAAGGGCATCATTTGAAAATCCGCTCCAGATATGAAAACAGTATTCCATAGAAGGACGGATTTGAGATATATCGAGATAAAGAATGGGATCCTGAGTAAGAAATTGGCGAGTACGAGACCTTAGCAGATGCTATTTTTGAAATCAATTTGATACATGGTTTCCAAGAGAGATCGAAAGTAAGAGTTAGAAGATGAAGGGTTTTGTTTATTTATGAACATAAATAAAAGAAGTCAAGATTATTGCGATAATAATTAGCTGAAAAGAATGGAGTTTTATCAAAGTTAAAGTTTACCAGCCAACGAGAGCCCATACCTATAGCAGAGGTAAGATCCTTTTCAATGCCACCTTAGATTTAAAAGTTTCTGGAAGATTGTTAATGTAAATTAAAAAGAGTATAGGGTCAAAGATAGAATCTTGAGAAAACCCCTAAAATTACAGGATATGAAAAAGAGTGCTGTGCTTCCAGCAGAATAATTTTAAATAAAATAAAAAAGTAAAAACGACAGAAAATCATGAAAGTTATAAAAACACAAAAAAAAAGCGTTGTTTATTAAAAAAAAAAGAAGCAATATATGTAAACATAAGTATTTGGGCTGATTGTTTAATATCATCAAAAATAGTTATCTTTTATACTAATGGTTTGAAACCATTTTAATATAAGCCAAAAAAAGTGATAAAGATTTAATTTATTTTTAAGTGATTTAGTTTAAACCTTTAAATTGTTTTCAAAAAAGGTATTTGAAATCTAATATATCGAATTCCATGTTCAGTAAATGCCGTTTTGAATCATCCTTAAAACTTTGCAAAGTGCAGTTTAAAACGAAGTTTTGTTTTTTACTAAAGATTTTTTCCAAACTAAATATTGTTTTGTTATTCATTTGTTTTATTTGTCATTCATTTTGTTTCATTTTTCATTTTGTTTCATTTTATCATTCATGTTTTATTTGCCATTCATTTGTTTTATTATTTTGGATGGATGCGTTATTATAGAGGATTGCAGCGATGTTGATGTTTCATTAGCGATGTCGTATGTTTTTGCATCGTATCATATATATTTTATTCAATATCCTGCGCAATTATAAAACACGTTATTGTTTTAAGAACATATTGTTTATGGATTGCCATCTAAAGAACGCCCAGTGACAATAACTAGAATGGCTAATACTTTGAATGAGAAATTAAATTGATTTATTATCTATGCTATACTTTTTATTAAACATTAAACATTTTTTTAAATGTTGTTTTGCTTTGTATATATAAAATAGTTTACATAAAATAAAATAGTTATTAGAAAAAGAATCAATAGAAATGCATTTATCTTTAGTTTTATTCTTTTTAAAATCTCCTACAAAAACCAGAGTAAATTAAAATTAAAAGTAGTTTGCGTAAAAAGTAAGTATAGTAAAAAATTTACATATAGTTATGAAATTATCAAATTAAATAAGGTTTTAGAGAGAATTAATTAGCCGATAAAGTAATGCCTGTCTTTTAGCACAAAATATTAAAAATAACATTTTAAAGGCAAGTTATACGAAACTGTAAGAAAAGTTCTTTGAAAAACATAGAAAAGTAGTTAAAATCTCCACATATCAATAGTCCGGAATACTTACTTTTTATCAATAGATTGTAACTTCGTTTAATTGAATTTATTATTTTTAGATTAAGTTCATAGACAATTGTGCCTGGCCTATAAATACATCCGCAAAGTATCTTTTCATTGCCAATATGCAATGATGTCTAAACTTGCTCTAAGTCGTCATCATATAACATTTTATCAGAAACTGTAACAGATTTAATATTTTCTTTGACATATATGCATACTCCCCCTCCTCGTTTACCTATTTGATCTTTGCGAAATATATTATAACCAGGAACATTACTTAATGACATTTCATTAAATTTGTGATAAATTAAATCAGGTTGCGGTAGAAAATGGAAAAACAAAATGCACAACTAGGCAAATCAAAGTTGATAGAAGAAATAGGCAACATCAGAATATGCCTGAAGAATTAGTAAGAGAGCTTTCTGCAAAAAAAGAAATTGCAAGTGTGATGAAGAACATAATTTATAGACTCGAACAGGAGATATCAATACGGTTTTTACTTCTAAAAAATTGAAACAATAAATTTGTAATTTTACCAGACGTTAAAACTCTCTTATGATAAAAAGTGTGCATCTTAGGTCTCTAAGACCTAGGATACACACTTTTTATCATAAGTCAAAACTCTTACGTTTTAAAAATTTATACAACACTGAAGTCAATAGTCACAAACTGCGCTCAGAAATTGAAGACTGCAAAAAACTGCTTAGTGCCCAGAAACTTAGTACCCAGTTTTATTGAAACTCTTTTGAATCCTTTTGGTTTTATTATTTCATATGAAATGGGCGTATATTTGAATTTGCACATTTCACTGCAAATTCTTCTCACAATTGCTGTTTGATTTGCAAGGTGTGGTGGTCCTTAAGCTAACTGAAATATTTTTTGTCTTATTTACTTGCTTCAATGGGACAAGATCGTCTGAGTGATCTTGTCCTCCTAACCATCGAAAAAGAAACATTTAAGAATAGTGGTTTTAGCAATATGATTGACGAGTTTGCAACAGTCAAATCAGGAAAGATCAATTTGTTGTAGACTTTCTATAATTCAGTCATGTATAATATATATGTATGTCCAGTCATGTATGATATATATTTGAATATATTTTGTTTTTTTAAATAAACACGCTTTTTTTTTTTAGGGTAATAGCAATATATTTTTTATTTAATGTACAAACTAAACCAAACAAGTTTTTACAAATAAACCTTTTTTTAGGCACCGATTCAATCCCCTTGGGTTTCCAGCCAATTATAAATACATAAGTTTTTACTTTTAGAAAAACCGTGCCATTAGGGTAAAGTGAGATAAGTGTGAGTAGAAGTGGGACAAATAAATTTAAAACAAAATTTTAACACAAATTATTAATAGAAACTGATAAAATCATCTAATCGACATTAAAATATTCAAGAGCTTTCACCAATCGAAATATTTATTTTTTTTGTCCCACTTCACCCAGATGTAAACTTTTTTTTAAGGTACATTTCAAAATTGGAGTTTCTAGCGCACGCAGGGAAGCAAAGCAGTTTCTGCAAAATAGAGGGGAAGAAATTTAATTGTTAATATTAAATAACAGTATTTAGGCATCACTCCTAATTAGAGGCTGTCCCACTTCTCCCGCGTCTCACTTCTCCCCACTCTCCCCTATAAAAAATTAGTTCGTTTTCAAATAATACCGAGCATTATTATTATATATTCCCGACGGGCATTTGTTTTTAAAAGTTACGATTTAAATGTATTTTAAATGTCTTTTAAACGTCTTTTAAACATTAATGTTTAAAAGACGTTTAAAAGACGTTTAAAACACATTTAGAACGTAACTTTTAAAAACAAATGCCCGTCGGGTTATATTACCCTTCCCAACGGGTATTTGTTGGTTTAAAATTGGTTTAGATCACGTTTAGATGGCATTTACGTCGATCTAAACGTTTAGGAATCTATTCTAATATATTACCCTTCCCAACGGGTATTTGTTGGTTTAAAATTGGTTTAGATCACGTTTAGATGGCATTTACGTCGATCTAAACGTTTAGGAATCTATTCTAAACGTGTTCTAAATATTTAATTTGCGAAATCAAACAATTTCCGTACAGAACTAACTTAATTAAATTAGTTTCTTACAAAATGTGTCGGACATTTTGAATCTTTCATTATGATTAAAAATTAGAGTTTCTAGAGTAATAAAGGTTTAGAAAAAATAAAAGAAATTTGTTTTTAGTATTATATTGTGGCTAATGAAGGAGTTAAAAAGTCCTGTAAGTTCTTCGGTAATATTGTATGAGCGATTAAAAGTAATTTTAAGTACAGTAAAAAAGTTTCTCCTCAATCAAGATAATCAATGAACTATCATTTATGCTATCACCCCCTAGTCATTCTTTGTGGCTGAATTTTTAATAAAATAAAAGTATAAAAAATAAATTTATAAAACCCATAAAATAGAAATAAAAATATAAAACTCATAAAATTAAAATAAAAATATAAAACTCTAAAAATAAAAATAAAAAATACAAAACTCTAAAAGTAAAACATAAAAATATATAAATGTTCATCTAGTCGCAATCAAATACCTTATTTTCATCATCCAATATAATGTATATGGCTCTTAAAGATTGTGGCATTGTTTTAACTATCTAACATTTAATAAATATACAATAAACTATTTCCTATGCAATCGCCCCTGCTTAATTCTCTTCAACATATATATATATTTTTTTTTCCTACTTTTTATCTGTCCTATTTTTTGTTATTGATATTATTAAGATTCTTATATTTTTATTTTGCTTTATTATTAAGGATAATCACTATTAGCTATAAATGTTTTATTTTGATTATAGTAGTAAAATATATATTGATTATAGTGTTTTATATTACTGCATTAATATTATTATTATTAATATTTATTTCTATTATTATTAATAATACTTAATAGTATTATTATTATTATTATTATTATTATTATTATTATTATTATTATTATTATTATTATTATTATTATTATTATTATGTTATTATTTATACCATTATAGGTCTTTACACGTCATCAGTTTATAACTGTTTGTAAATGTCCCGCACAATTGTATATATATACAGTATTATTAAAGTGAAAATATATTGATTGATTGATTGATTGATTGATTGATTGATTGTAACAATATACTTTGATAATTCTTATTTTTAGTTATAGCTACTAAAATAGCAGTTTCAAAAAAGTAGCAGTAGTTTCAAAAAAGTAGCAATGTCAGCATCTTTTTAAACTATTTCTTAAATTGTTTTTTCTGTTTGGTTTTTAACAACGCTAAAATATTACTTAAAATGCATAAATTTTCTCTAAAAGTTTTAGAGGAAAATTATGCATTTTAAGTCGTAGCTACTTTTTAAATAACTAAGTAAAATTATTATTTTTTGTTTATATTAAGACCTAACATCTGTTTGTTTATGATAGATGTTAAGTGGTAGATGTTAAGTGATAGATGTTAAGATGCAAGTGGTAAGTTGATTTTTTGTGACGTTTTTACTCCTTTAAAATTTAGATTTTCCTAAAATAATAATTAAGTTAATGGCTATTTCTGTAAAGATCATTCTGTAAATAAAAACTGCAGTGATTTTTAAAACTAATAGTTATTCTTTTAGTAATCACAAGATAAAGTGCTAACACTGTACTTTTAGATATGATTCTAATACATGTTTTTTTTTTTATAAGCATATGAAATTTTTGAAACAGGCTCGGGTATGCTTAAGCAAAAAGTTAAAAGAGGCTCAAAAATATGCTTAAACTTAAGCATATTTCTAATAAAATGTGCTTATTCAATACTTTCTAAAAGTGTGCGCGTTACTAAAGGTTATAAAAAAAATAAAAAGTTGACTTTTGTACAGTATAATAAAAAATAAAAAATATATACTATATACAAATGTTATCAATAAAATCAAAGATATGAACTTCGCATTCCTTCTCGTCCGGACCCATAAAGGTGTCATCTAAAAGAATTTTGTTGGCATCTTCATTTATAGCATCATCTACCTCCACCGGTTGAATATCATTTGATTTCCCTTGGGTTGATCACTGCCAGGATCAATGATGGATGGTGGGGGCACTTTGTAACTATCAAGGCCCTCTGGTTTAACAAGCGAATCTTCTGAGCCATCAGAAGTCATTAAACACCCAGTCATCGTCCAACATTTCTTCCTTTGCTTGTCATACTTAGAAGTGTTTAAAGCTTTCCATGCTTCCCCTGCCCAATGTGTAATCAAAATTCGACTCTCTTTTGCAGTGTAGGGCATTTCATTACTGAACCATCTATCAGAATGATTATCTCTATCAAGCCATTATTGATATTCAAGATATTTTGTGGAACGTCTTCCCTTCAGAAACAATTTGCGATAGGATGATTCGGCATCTTTAATAATAGTTTCTTTTTTTTTAAGCCATCGCGAAATCTGACTTTGCGTTACACCAAACGACTATGCTATAGTATCTTGATTTGCCTCATAACCATAGGCGTTAATTGCCTCTGCTTTAAAGGCAGAAGTATGTTGGTAGTGTTTCTTACCAGCTAATTTGCTAGCCTCTTTACTTTTTTTTATGGCACTAACAACTTTGTTGACAATGATATCAAGTACATCTTTAACTGCTAGAGTGACAAGTTCTTTGTTACTTTGAAGAACTTGTGATTGTGAATGTTTACAATCTTGTTTGCTAATTCCGTGCATAACTTTAACATGAAAAGCTAGTCCTTGTTGGCATTTGAATAACTTTTTGCAATGTCCGCATTCAACACTAGTTTTGACAGCTTCTAATGGCAATCGGATTGCACTCATTTCTCCTCTGTGCATAACATTTTTTGTGAAACCAAACGCTGCCAATGTAGGCTGCTTTCTCTTTATCTTCTTTGACATTTTTATTACTATTTTTAACAGTATCTGAAAATAAGACTTAGAAATAAAATAAACATTTTGAATATGGTATTAAATAAACTACACATTAAGAGCGAAAAAGAAAAAAAAGAGAGAGAGAAAGAAAAAAAGAGAAAGAGAAAGAAAAAAAAGAGAAAGAGAAAGAAAAAAAAAGAGAGAGAAAGAAAAAAAAAAGAAGAGAGAAATAAAACACTGCAGAGCGACTCTTAAACTTTATGTTTTTCTGGTCAAGTATTGAGATTTTGCATTACAATGACTTCTTTACTTCATAAAGTCGTTGCACTGCAAAACATAAACTTCGATTTTTGTTGTTTTTGTAGGCTTAAATTTAGAAATATATATATTTAAAAATTTTAATAAAATAAAATAAAAATCTTTTAAATGGTTTATCGAGGCTTAGGAATATGCTTACATATGCTTCTTTTTTTTCCAAATCTGAGCCTCTATATGCTTATAAACGTTATGCTTATAAAAAAAAAAACATGTAGTTGAACATCTGTCAGATATTTACCTTTTAAATCATAATCTAATTGCTCAAGCTTCTGAAAAGCTATTTATAAAAATTCAACGCTTAAAAATTAATGTAAGATTAAAGGTAATTCCTGTTATATTTAAAAGGTATGTTGATGATTGGTTCGAGTCTTTAAAGTTTAAATTAGTTAAAAGAGAGTTCAAATTGTTTAGTTTTTATCTTATGCTTATAATATATATGCTTTATATCTAAAAGCTATTGAAATATTTATAGCATTATTTTTTATTTATTTTATTATGCTATGGAAGACCTACCAAGCTTGAAATTTTAACGGGTTGAAATATATAGTATGTATAAGTATATCATCTCTCGGAATTAGGAAAACTAAAGTCTGCAAAAAAAGGTAAAAAACTAGACGACTAAACTTATTTAAAACGCTTTTAACAAGTTTAGTTACAAGTTAATGTTATGTGTTGATGTACCTTCAACCAAATTAGTGTTAACATTTTAGCAAAATGTCATATCGCCAGTCTGTTGGAAGAACCAAAAGCTTGATATTTTATTGAATTGTTATTTTAGTTTGTGATATTATAATTTTTATTCACAAAATGTTAAATAATTTACTTTTTAAATTTATTTGTCATTGCCTTGGATAAGATGTTTTGTTATTCCTTTTACAGATTGTTATGAGGATTGCAAAACTTTTAAATATCAGAAACTGAAGAAAGCATTGATAATCAGCAGATATCAAAAAAGCGGAAAAGTACTGATTATACAACTCTTTTAAAGGTTTCATTTTAATTTGTTAATGTTTATATAGAAACTAATAATATATAAACTGAAAATAATAACATATAATTAATCCATAATTGTGCATTATTCTAATCTAATTTTTTTTTTTTTTTCAATTTCTTCAGAGTTAATATTACTAGTTTAATGCAATTACAGTTGAAATGGTTAATTATGGAAAAACTGCACTAAAAATTGAATAAACCGCTTGTTAAAGCAAATAATATATATATATATATATATATATATATATATATATATATATATATATATATATATATATATATATATATATATATATATATATATATATTATAAATTTAAAAATAATAGTTTTATTTAGTTTGTTCTAATTTTTATGTAAAAAAAAATAAAGCAAGTTTTAGTAAATGATTAACCATTTTTATGGTTATAGTATTTTTACGGTATAGTAAAATAGTTTTTATTTTTCAGTTGAGGAAGAATTTTATGTTAATGTTAATGCAAAAGGTATGAATATTGACAGGTTTGCTAATTTGATGTTACAATAAACATGAAATAAAGTTTGTGAAGACCTTAGTGCCAAAAATACTTGCATGCATTATTCATGCATGCTGTATTATAATATAGCATGCATGCATGATGCATTCAAGTATAAAAAAAAAAATTACAAATGTTTAATTATACAAAAAGATTATGGATGTGGTACTGCAAGTATATTCAATTGATTATGCAAGTAAGTTGTCCTACTTTACATCTTTGAAGACTAATAATAATTGTAATGAACATATCTCAGACAATATACACTCGGATTTATATTTTAGTTAAATAATCACCACTTCCACAGCCACCTTGTCTCAAGCATTAAATGGCATTCTAAGATATCTTTATTCAAATTAGGTGTGACTACTTTACCAAAAGACTCTAGAATGGACCAATCAAGTTAGGTGTCTAAATCTATATCTTTTATATAGAACTCCTTTATTTTTAGATAAACCTGTTAATTTTATGACTTATGAACATATTTAGCAATGTAATCCTTTTAGGATAGACTTTTTAAAATCAAATTTACAATGTTTTAGTAAATTTTTATTTAAAATAACTTTGTATACTTAATATATCTATATAGTTATTTACATAATAGCTAACCCATCAGTACTTGCAAAGTCTCTATTTCTGTAAGCCCGAAAATTGAGTTCTGAAATACTATTATCCACATAACTTCTATATCAAAGTACAATCTAATGGATTGATCAAGTAATACTTAATTTTTACTTGAATTGCGTGTTAGTACATATGTATGATTTTGATATATAAATTTTAATTATTATGTTTGTTGATTAGTTTTTAAACTTTAAGAAGTGTAAGAATTACAATTTTATTTTTACATGTTTATTTATATTGTAGTGAAACTGTCGGTATCTCCACAACTTTTCAATTAAATAGAAAGTTTCAATTAAACAGGATACTAAGTGTGCCTACTGCTCCTCAAGACAATGAATAATGGAAGTTATCAAACTTTATATATATATATATATATATATATATATATATATATATATATATATATATATATATATATATATATATATATATATATATATATATATATATATGTATGTATATATGTATAGATATATATATACATACATACATACATACATACATACATACATACATACATACATACATACATACATACATACATACATACATACATACATACATACATACATACATACATAGATATATATATATATATATATATATATATATATATATATATATATATATATATATATATATATATATATATATATATATATATATATGTGTTGTACAGATATTGTTATAAAGTAATAGAATACTATATAATATTGTATTACTATGTTTAGGAAGGGCACTGCAGTTGTCCTGCAGTTATGCAACTTATCAACCCATAACTGCGATAACTGCAAATTTTTTTAATAAGGTTTTTATTATATAAATGTTATATATTTTACAGAGTTTAAAAGAAAAGTTCTCTGTCAATTGTTACCATAATTACTCAATGTACACTCTACTATTGTACAATCTTCTATAATCACATTTGATGTTTATTGAGTTATTTTTATTATTTTTAGAAAAGAGATTGTATGACTTCGGTATACGCAATACGGTATCGTGCATTGATTTCCATCTTAGAACGGCTCCCTTCCGTATAGGTGGAAATAGGAAAGGTTATGTCCTTTTTTCTAATTCTTAAGACGAAGAGGCTTAATCAGTTCAAACAAAGATGACGATGATCATTATGGAGCCGATCATGATGACGAATACGATAATGCATATAATAATAAATAAAATGTTTTTACTTGTATCTTAGACTTATATAAATAAAAAATTATTTGTTTAATGTTTGATTTGTTTATGAGTATTTAGATAATGCGTTCAGCGTTTAACTTTTTTTTACGGTGCTTATTTAAAGCAGCTTAAATAAAAGAAAAGTTTGATTCGTTTATCAATATTTTGTATTTATTTATGCTTCTTTAAATAAGCGCCGTAAAATAAAGTTTAACGTCAAACGAAAGATTTAAATAAAGTTTAAAAGCGTTTAAAACGAACCATTTAGATATGGTTTAAATGGAACATTCGATTGACCTACGTTCTAAATCGAAACTTAATTAAATCTAAACATTTAGAACGAACATTACCTAAACGTTGATTAAATGTTCGAATGCCCGTTGGGTTAATATTGATAAACCGTAAAATTTCAAAATTGTCGTAAAATATTTCATTTGTCAATTCAATGAGAGCATGCTCAGCCGAACAACTCTTTTGAAAGCCAAATTGATTTTTATATAACAATTGGTTTAAATTCAAGTATGTATATTATATGTATATTCTATTACAAAATACTTTTTCAAAATTTTTTGAATATACAGGTAGAAATGAAAAAAAAAGTACCCCAAATAAATTTGAGCCGTAAGTTAGTTTTGAGCAACATAAATAAAAACCCAATTAAAACTATGCAGCTAATAATGCTCAATACTCGCATATACTTTATAAACGTGTTATTTCAGTTCAATTTTTGGCCAAATCTTTTAAAAACCAATACAAATGTTTTAAAAACGTTTTTTTGTCAATGACTTTTTAATTTAAAACCTAAACGTTTATTAATCGTCTTTTTTTACTCATACAAGGTACTTGAACTATAATTTTATACAAAAATTTATAAGCACATGCAGGCATAGATTTTGGGATGGGCAGTCTGAGAGTTGGCGCAAGGGTATCACCAAATCAGTGGTCCCCGCCAATCAAAAAAAAAAAAAGGTTGACTTGTTTTAATGAAGACATGGATAAAATAGACATTAGGTGTTATCTAAAAAAATGAAAAAAAATTATGCAGAAACACAAAAAATCCGAAAAAATTATTTAAAAAAACATCAAGCAAAAGTTTGAAAGTTTTTTCGATGTCTACAGGAATACATTAGTTTTTTTTAAGTATTTTATATTATAAGGATATAAAATATATAAAAAATATATATATATTAAACAATTTATATATTTAATATATATTAAATATATATATATATATATATATATATATATATATATATATATATATATATATATATATATATATATATATATATATATATATATATATATATATATATATATATATATATATATATTAGTGTATTAAAGTTAATATTTAGTTTTAAATCAATTTTTAGGCCGTGGTTCAGTGGTAGCGTACTTGCCTAAGAAACAAAAGATCCAGGATTCAATCCCCACCACTAGGCAAGTTTTGCGACATCGATTTGGAAAAAGACGTGAACTTCCTATTAAACACTCGTTCGCGGTGCTGTTTGATACGACCGTAAGGACTTCTTAGAGCACTTGAAAAAAAAAAAGTTACAACAATGAGTTCTTTTTTTTTTTTAACTATTTTTCTACTGTCTTATTACTTATTTATTTTTAACTTATTTTTATTACGTTTTATACATGAAATTTTGAGCATTTTAAAACACTTTTTAATAAAGTACGTTATGCTTACTTTAATAAAGACACATGTCATATATCACATCATATATGTAACATGGTGTGTATATTATTTAACGTCACATTAATTACAACGTGAAAACTGCTTACATGGGAAGAATATTTTTGTAAAAAAAAAAAAAATCTTTACATTTGTAGATTTTCTTATAAACCATCTTGTCAAAATACTATTATTTTCTCGTTTTAAAGATTATTGAGTATAAAAAGAGCCTGGGTCTTTATTTAGATGATTTAACAAAATGACACACATAAAGATATTCTAAAACACATAAAGATATTCTAAAACAATTGTTGTTATTAGTTCCGTTTTTTTTTCCAATAAAAATCAAAACCCATCAAATTAGATGAAAATTAATTCATTCAAAAGTGGACATTGTAAAAATAAAAACCTCATTAACATTCAATCTGATTTTTATAGATTATAATTTGTTAAATTTTTAACAATAAAAGTTAGTTAACTATCATAATTGTGTTGTTTGGTGGAAGACTGGAGAAGACTTATTTTTTTAGTACTTTTTTTTTCCTGGTAACATTATTTTAAAAAGATTTATGTTGAAGTAATATATTTTTTGTTGAAACTTTTTAATTCAAGGTTTTTTTCATCGAAATTGGAATAATTGAATAACTCTCTTCGTAATTACTCTACTATGTGTGTATAGTCATACCTCCAAAAGGTTCTTTTAGGATTCACCATAATCATTACTTTGAAATTTACAGATCGTGCCACCACAATTTAAAACAATAAAATCATGTTACTTAAAAGCAAAACCAATTTGATTTTAAAAAAGCTTTTATTGTTTTTTTGGAAAAAAAAATTGAAGATCTTATTACATAAATAACAAATATACAAGAATTTCATAATGGCTTATTAATGCTTTACTTCTATAAGAGCGCATACAAACAGCGCAAACAATAGAGCGCATGTTAATATAAGCGCAAGTTTATAAAAACCGTGTTGTAAAAAAGCATGTTAGTAAGAGTTTAAAAAGAGCGAATGGAATATTTGTTCAATTGAATAATGTAACTAATAACTTAAACCAAATCGCGTTTAAATTTTAAAAAAGTAGGAAATAAATTAATAAAAATTAAAATATATTTTTTGTGAATAATTTGAATTTCAATATTTGAAGCATAAAAGAGAATGGCGTTGACTTTTATCAAATCCAACAAAGGAGCGAATTTATTGGTGATAGACTCATTTAGTTATAGGAGAGAAAAAGTAATTGCTGGTAAAGAAATATGGAGATGCTCTGCTTACACAAAATGGAAATGTATGTCGCGATGTCATACAAAAGATGGAATAATTACTAAAACACCTAATGATCACAACCATGTTCCCGATCAGTGTAAAATCAGAGGAAGGAAGGTAATTACTGACTTCAAAAAACGGCCAGCAACAATGATTGAATCTACTTACAAAATGCTACCAAAATATTTAAAAGAGTTAAATTCAGCAGTTCAAGGTAAATTGTTTTGTTTCAAATTTTTAATGTTTCGATTTTTTAAAGTTGAGTATTTAAAATAAGCTAGGAAATGATTACTTGAAGATAGATCTAGACTTAATTATGCTTCAACCCCAACTCACAGTTAACATAATATAAATTGATAGTTCTTATTTTAAAACCTTAAATTAACGTAATTTATTTAATTTAACTGTTTAATTTAAAGTTACAACTAATTTTCGACTAAAGAATATTTAAACACATAAGTTCATTACTAAATAAATTCTTTACCAACTTAAAACCTTTTTATTTTTTATTTTTTTATTGAATAAGTATAATAAAAACAGAAAATAAATACTTGAACAAGCCCAATTGCGACATTTTCTAATCCAATAATCAAATAAATGAACTTTGTGACCCTCTAAAGCAGAACAGGCTCGAGAAATCTCGATACACAATCGTGTTTTAAGCCAGGTAATGACAGTTTCGTTTCTTTCGCCATTCTTGACAGATAGTTTATGTGCAAGAATTATTCAGAATTGTTTACATTTGTCTCTGAATCTACTATTTTTAGTAAAAATTTGTTTAGCTTCTAAAATTCATTCAAAATATTTACGTTTTTTGTTTCCAATTCTACGAAATATCTTTTTTGTTGTTTTGTGTTTGGAGAGGTTAGGGCTTTTGTGCGTTATTCTAGCATCAAAAAAAAAAGAAATGTAATTTCTGCTTTTCTTTGAAAACTTTTAGCTTTTATACTTATCTTTTTCTTTCACTTGTATTGGCAGTCTAAAAATGGAACTTTCATTTGTCATCGTAATTAAAGACGGCTCCACTTGAACGTCCAAACAAATGCTAGCACAAAGTAAAAACTAGTTTATCGAATCTTTCTCCAGAAGCACAGATATTTGATTAAAAAATCTAAATCCTCCCTCCAATGGATTCAGGGCCTATAAATCGTTGTACTTATTGATAATAGAATACTTAGCATCAAACAAAACAGATAATAATTTGTCTTATATATATGGATATCAGGGTGAATATATATATATATATATATATATATATATATATATATATATATATATATATATATATATATATATATATATATATATATATATATATATATATATTTATATATATATATATATATATATATATATATGTATATATATATATATATATATATATATATATATATATATATATATATATATACATATATATATATATATATATATATATATATATATATATATATATATATATATATATATATATATATATATATATATATATATATATAAAAGCATTAAAACGTCATATACGGTATCATAGTATTTATTTCTTTTCTCTATAAGTGATATTTCGGTTCATATAGTAAGAGCCATTATCAAACTAAAGAAAACGTTTTAAATTGCGACAATGGCAGTTTGGTGATTTTCAACGCGATTTAAAACGTTTTCTTTAGTTTGATAATGGCTCTTACTATATGAACCGAAATATCACTTATAGAGAAAAGAAATAAATACTATGATACCGTATATGACGTTTTAATGCTTATATATATATATATATATATATATATATATATATATATATATATATATATATATATATATATATATATATATATATATATATATATATATATATATATATATATATATATATATATATATATATATAGGTAAACCTGTATTTAAACGGCGAAAATATTATTTTTTCGCTTGTCACTTGAGACTTGCTCAAAGTAATGACTTTTTAGTATAAACTTTATTGGCTTCAGTAATTACATTGACCATGGCCTACTTAAACTTTAAGTAGGCTATGCATCGACTATCTTATAGCCATCTGCTACAAGGAAGTGCTGCTACATCGACTGAGGGTTTGGTTGGGGCAGGCAGTCTATCAAATAATTAAAGAATAAACTAAAAGGATAATAAAATATTCCGTATGTTTTTTAAAAATACGTTTTTAGTTTTTTTTTAAGTTTTAAATAATGTCCTTTTAGTATGCTTTTTAAATTTTTTTTTATAGTTTTAAAGACTTGCTCAAAGTGGTCTACAAGACCATTTTGAGCAAGTGGTCTACAAGACCATTTTGAGCAAGTTTCGCAACAAACGAAAAAATAAAACTTTTTTACGCCGCCTAAATACAGATTTACCAATTTACCTTATCAAGTTTTGATTGCACTCAAAAATATCTAAAGATGGGGAAAATTTAAAAAATCTCCACTTAGAAAAAAAAAAAATACCACCTTATTAAACTACAAAAAAAAAAAATAAAAAAAAATAGCCAAATAATAAATAAATACTTGCAGAATCTATTTTTAAAGTGGGGTCGAAAGAAATATCTACTTGTATTTCAATACAACTGAAACATTTAAAATTAAATAACTTTGTCAATTCTAAAGCAAAACGTCGTCACCAAACAAATTATTTTAGTACATTTTTTTTTTTAAATAATATTTATATATTCTTTGACACCTACATAAAATCATTTGTTGCGTTTTTTGGTCGAAGTTTTTCAAAAGCAAAATATTTTTTTCCGCTGTAAAAAGTCACGTGATAAAACTTCCTAAGAACAGCAATTTGGTTACGCGTAATTTTCTGCCTAAATTTTTCTTCAATATGGCTAACTACATTAAAATCAAAATGGAGAACAAGTTTATTTACCTCTTAACACACGGGTTTAAAGTCTCATTTCCGTTCCGTAAATTATCACAAAATCATTTAGTAAGATTTTGTGATAATTTACGGAACTTAAGTTAGTGATAAATTTGGCTAGGAAAGATATTTACCGTTAAAAAACTTTACCAATATGTCATATTCTGCTTCTCAAATTTTTTCTCAAATCTTCTCAAATTCTAGAAATGTTTACTTTTCTAAACAAATTTAAGATAATTTTTGTAACGGAACTGAGACCATAAATCCGAGACTTAATTTCTATAGTTTTCTCGTATTTCAATACCTTTACTCTAGCTTCTACCGTCTCTAATGTGACTTATGAACTAAGATCTTTCATTCCTCTGATCTGATCAATGAATGAAAGTTTTTCGGATGGAAGAATTCAGGTTTGATAATAAAAATATTTTTCATGCGCATCTTTGACGCGTACAATGAGCGCATACATGTTTACGCGCACGTTACGTTTAATTTCACGCGTAAAAAATAATTTAAATTAAAATTTTAGAATAATCGAGGCAAAACAAACGATTTTTATAACATTACTCTATTGGATATTTGTATATTAATGATTTTAATGGGTTAAAATCATTATATCATCAAAATATCTCTCTAAAAAGTATTGTTTAACCCTATTTAGTCTAAAATATTTCATTACAAGTATTTGATCAATATTTATCAACACAATAAAGATCAATACTATAAAACGAAAAAAGTAACATCCTAAGTATTTATACTTTATTGTTGTCTATTATTATATATGTACAACTATCTTGTACATATTCTTTAAAGAAAACAAACAAACAAACATGCAACTCGTGGAGAAATTAGTCGTAGATATAGAAAATGAAATAGAAAAACTTAATTGAAATGTCAAATAATAGTCGTTGAATGAAGATTACTTGATCATATGTTTTGATTTTGACAAAGTGAAATTTATCTAAAAATCACAGACTAAAAGTCGCTTGAGAAAGGCTATGTAATAAAATGCAAGCACCTTTAAGCAAGAAATTCCTATAAATTCCTTTTCGCTTTTAAACTTTCAACATACTATTTAAAAGTAATTCAATTAAGTTATGCCCCGCAAATTTTAAACCAGACTACTGAGATACCAAAATAGGACGTTTACCAATATATGACGAGATACCAATATATGATATTTCATAGTTACACTGGTTAAAGTAGTTTATTTGGAGTTAAAGATTAAAATAAAAAAATTAAAGAGTTATTTATTTATGAGTTTAAGTAAAAGAGTATGACAGAAAAAGAGTAATATTCAAACAAAAATTATATACAAAAGATTTGTGGGGTGGCTGAAAAGTTGCCCCTCCTTACTCAAGATTTTGCGCAAATAGACACACTACATATTTATACCCAAAAAGGCAGAACCACTTTTTGTTCTTGTCCCATAATTATGGACAAAATATTCTTGATGAGCTTCAATTAACAGAATGAACGATCATTTGAGGTCACGGGCAGTGAGTCTACAAATTAAAGAATTAAGAATGTGGTAAAAAGCCGTTCTCCAAAATGTTGCCTCATCTCCTAATTCTGTTTATGTTGATTCCGTGATATATTTATCACCTTCAGCTTACTCCACAGCATCAATCTTTGCACTTTACTTTTCGGTGGGTTTGAAATCTGCAAATAATTTGGCTTCCTCCAAAATTGTCAGCTACTTCTCGCAAACAAACTTGATTGCTCAATGTTTCAAAATTTTTTACCTCAATATCAATAGTTGCCTTTTTTGCTTAAATCACCTGGTTGTAGCAATTAATAAATTTATAGACTTTTATCCAAGTTTGATACATGAGAACACATTTAAAGAAGCTCATATGTTTCAGGGCATCTCTAATCTCAGTTTTTGTTTTAGACGTGAGATTCAAGATTTGAATTTTTTTTCAAAGAAAAAAATGATGTGGCTCAAGTAATTAGAAAAATGGGTGAATGGCAACTAGGCTCTCAGTTCTTTGTGTTCTAGATTGCTCATGCAAAGATACACCATGGGGCCTCTTTTGCAATATTTCCCAGCGTTGCAAACTAGCAGAGAAGATTGTATACACGGTTTGAACAGTTCCAATAAAAGTCTCAGTATCTGTACAGTTTAAACTCAATGAATGACAACCACAAGGTGATATTATTGACAATGGTTTCTCCTTTTGTAAGATTGATTGAACACCCTCGTATTGTCCTGATATGTTAGCTTCATTGTCAAAAATTTGGCCACGGCATTCTTGAAAACAAATTTTTAAAGTTTCCAGAACTAATTCTGCTATATAAGGTCCAGTCTTCTTTCCACAATTTGAAAAGATCAAAAACCGCTCTTCGAATCAA